TTTAGAGTAGTCAAAAATAATAGACACCTATTTTTTTAATAAATAGTGCAATCGTGTAGGTTTAAGGGTGCAAACTATTCCTTATAATGATAAACACGAATATTTTATTTTTTGCATTTTAATTCATTGTATTAGAGCTATATAACTTACTTTTTCTTGCTCTTTGCCAAACCCAGAAATAACTGACGAGGAGATGGTGAGAGTCTATTCCCATTTAGTATTTTTGTTTTGTTTTATATTATTTTTTTTATTGTTTACGTTTTTATAATTTTTTTACATTTTTTTACAAATTTTTCTTATTTTCTTCACAATTACGTCATTTTTCCTAAATCTATTTTTCTATTTTGTTGTATTCTTTGCAAAAATGATATTAAAAAAATTCTTATATTCACAAAGATTTTGTATACCAAGCACATTTTATTACTGCTACATTATCACATAATGCGCAGATAGTTTCACAATTTTTGAAACAGTAATTTATGGGATTATTAAACTCAAGTGGTTTCTCTTGCAAATATCCACTTTTATACCACAAATATTTATTTAAACAAATTTATAAATCGAGGAAAAGATAACTGAATATGAACAAGCAACTGAAGTTTAATAACATTATTTAGTAAATGTAAGTTTACATTGTAATTATACAAAATAACTATTACTCAAAAACGTTTAATGAAATTTTTCCAAATTCTAAAGCCAAAGACATCGAGAGGTTGAATCATCCCAGTTGTTTCTGCAGGAATTGTTAAAATTTTAATATTCTTTGATATAGTTTATTCATTATTTTAAATGTTTCCGAATTTTGGCCACTTTTGAATGAATATAAAAGTAGAACACTATTATCGTTGCAGTTAGGAAGATAAACATTTGTGGTTCACGTTTTTACAAGATTCATCGACATCTTACCTGAATTGAAAGGTATAATACAAAAACATTATCAGGTTTAAAAACATTTACGAGAAACTGCAGCGTTAAAGGATATTCGATATTACTTTAATATAAGAATTACAATATCAATTAAGACTAATGAGAGTCAAAAGCAGTTTTTGGTGCTTATATCATATATTAACAATTATTACATTAATTCATTTCAATACTAACGAACGTTTCGACTCTCTTTGGAATTGACATCTTCAGCGTACCAGGAGATATATGTACATAAATGCGATAATTGACCTTTGATTAAGATATGAGCGAGTCATTGGCGGTTGCTAAATCCGCAGTGAAGTCCTTAAAAATTAAGAAGGAAACAAATCAAATACGATTTGCCTCTTCTACAAGGATTGATATTTTTATTTAATTAATCTTAAATATTTATAGAATTGTATAAGCCATTGACTTACCCAATGCAAAATAAAGGTCCAGATAAAGCTTTGGCGGAAGAACAGTAATGTATCTTTCAATCCGCATAATAAATTAATAAATATACATGAGTCAACGGAACGTGATGTCAGGAACTAACAATCGTATCTAACTGACAATGAGATGATAAAGCATTAATAATTATTCTATTAAAATATATAATAAAATCTGTATCATTCAATAACAACTTTTTTAAATAGTGAAGTAGTTTATCACAAATATTAGGAACAAATTGTATTCATCTATTTATTACACAACAAATGCATTACGAAAGATACCCTATCTTAAATATAATTGTTATATTCCATTTTATTGTATATATCTTAGAGACAATTTAAAAAATATAAAATTGCTGGTTAAAATAAATTATTTATACTCTTACAGTCTTCTACATTAATTTATGTGCCCGCAAAAATCTCAACTATGATGAATGCATTGTGGATAGCGTCAACAAGGCAAAGAGTAAGGTCTGTACAGGGATGTCGGAATTTGACATTTCTCCGATCAAGGTTCTGACTATTGAAATAGCTATTTACAGCACCGATAGTCCTAAATTAAATCCCAAAAATTCAAAAGTAAGAGGATTTTGCGATTTCAAAATAAAGTCTATTAACATATCCGCTGACCAACTTCAATTCGATGTTGATTTCAGGCTTAAACATCTTGAAATGGACTCCACATATGACTTCGACATACGTTTATTGGTGCAACTTGATAGTAAGAGATTGGTTCATACTTCTATAGGTATACAAAATAGTCGACCTTATAATCATATAAGACGAAATTTTGAATTGTAATACTTTAATATAAAAAATTTAAAATTTGTTACTATTTCATTAAAATTACCAAATTATGTTTTCTTCGCAGATAATTTAACAGGAAAATTAAATATAAATAAATCTTAAGGAGGCAACTAAAAATGGTAAACCAGAAATATGTGCATTGAAAGTACAAACTACTCTGAATATTAAAATTTGAACATTTAAATTTGACGAAAGCGAGCTTCAGCTTTGATGAAAGCGAGAAGGACTTGGTTTAACTACACAAAGCTTTTACCAATACCATTAACGAGAATGTCAGTGATATTATCAATATAATTGCGCCGGTATTAGAAAAAAGGTCTCCGAATTAATTATTTCAATTTTTAACAAGATAGCCTATAACAGATTTGAGCAATTGTTTCCCTAAAAGATATAAATCGTCTAGATAGAACTGTAGAAACCTTTTGTCACAAAGTCGTTCTGTGATAAGAGCTGTTCTATAAATGCATCCGATCCAAAAGAATACTCGAAATATATTACATGCAATATATATTTTAATTATTAAAAATAACAATATTTAAAAAGTTGCACGGAAAAGGAATTGCTATTGCCACAACCTAATAATTGTGATAATTTTCGCCCATCAATTTAGAAGTGTTATAGGAACTAAAATACTTTGGAAGTAATTTATATATATAGTTAACTGAACTCTCAGCCTCAATGTTGTGACGTACAACTATATCATATATATCTCTCAATCATTCTATTTGTTGTACAGACCATACTAGAGAGATAGCAATAATGCTTCGGTTGAGGCTGTCTCTTATACACATCTCT